TCAGAGTGGGCGCTACAAGCAATGCGAAGCTTTGCGCTACATACATTTGCTTGTGTTTTCTCGCATCAAGCTTCGCTTTCATTCTGACATGACACATAGGAAAACACAAGGAAAGGTTTGTAGCGCAAAGCTTCGCATCGCTTGTAGCGCCCACACTGACATCAGCCTAAAACTCATTAAATTTTTAATTAAAACAATAAAAATTCTTTATCTTTAACAAAGGCATATAAATATTTACATTTTTTGTATAAAAGTATAAACACAATAAGACAATTTAAATAAAGTAAGTATTTATAGTCGGGCATGGCCGAACATATATAAAGTATTTAATTTCATTATTACCTTAATTCAGAAATATTTTAACAATTGCTAAAAAGGGAATTTTCTAAAAGGGGGGGTTATATGGGGTCAAGCGGTTAATATGGTCCTATCGCTATAAATTTTAATAGTGGGATTTACGTCTACATCAGTTATTTATGCAGAATATCATCGTGATATTAGTGTTTATAAGTGAATTTTGACCATCAAGTCATTTTCTGAAAGGGATGAGTCCCGATCGTTACGAAAATCAGCAGTATCATTAAGACTTATACTTAACTAAGTTTTTTTTTTAAGTGATACAAGAACATATTTATGAGCTCAAAATTCCTATTCGACGGATACGATTGTATGGGGGCTATACGAAATAATGGACCGATTTTAACCATTTCCAATAGGCTTCGCCCTTAAAGAGTATGTTAAAAGAAGACTATGTGCCAAATTTTATCAACTTATCTTGAAATTTGCAACCTGTAGAGTGAGCACAAGGTTTACATGGAAGCACAGACGGACGGACTCAGATAGCTAAAGTGATCTGAGTGATTCTGAGCCGATTGGTACACTTAAAGGTGGGTGTAGGACAAATATTTTTGATGTGACAAACATCAGCACAAACGCATTATACCTATAGTGTTGTAGGGTATACAACTGAACGAATTTTATATAACTTTAAAAACTACATTTCAATGCAATATTGGTTATTGAATAGTTTTAATTTTATTTTATGTTATTTTTTATTTCCATTTGCATTTCAACAAAATTTTATTACATACACGAGGTGATGGCAGCCATTTTTATGAACCAAATGTTACAATATAGAAATTAAATTTTATTAATTAAATTTATTTATTTATTAAATGTAAAACATTTTTTTTTCACATAATAAGTATGTGTGTTTATATGAATGATAGTTTTTGATTAATGCCGCTGGAGTTGTGCGTGACTTTTAACTTGTAGATTTTGATTTTGCATTAAAGTCAAGTATAGTTTTCAATAATTTTTTATAAAAAATATTATATACATAATCTATTTTATACAATTGTGTTGTATATAACATAGTTATAAAAAAATGCGAAAAACATATGCCAACCTCATGATGATTTGCATAAATGCGTATACATTTATATTTATTCTTTAGACTAAGGTAGAATGTACAAATGGATTGGCTAGAGTAAACAGAACTACAATTTTATTAAGAAAATAACTAGTTGATGTAAACAATAGTTTTTAACCAGTTCAGTTCTGAAGAAGTTTTCCACAGAAAAATTGTATCGAACAATTATCTCTTAAAAACTTGTATTGATCAGTTTTCTGTAGAAAATTTTTTTCGATAAAGTATCTATAGAAATCCTGTATCGATTAGTTTGTTATAGGAAACTTGTATCGATCTGTTTTATATAGAAAAAATGTAGCGATCAGTTTTCTATGGATAACTACAATAGAAACCTTAAATGATAAAATAGGGAATTCTTGAATTCGTTAGAAAACTGATCGATACAAGTTAAGCCCCCTTCACACGAGCACACAGGTAATATGATCTGTCAAAATTTTGTGTAGAAGAGAACGGATGGGATCGTCTAAACGCAATATGTAGTGAAACCATCACACATTGAGAGAAAATACGGATTGAAAATTTGACAGTCGTATGGCTCTCTTTATTTTTTGAAATGATTCAAAAAACAAGCAAGTCGCATTAGATCAGGGATGTATTTTTGTGAAAACACATACAAAAAAAGTGAATCAGCTGTTTCCATCTTACTTTGTTATTGTTTTATACAAGTCGTGTAAACACAAAAAATATAAATCATACGACTTTTATTATCTTTTTTGTCATACGGATGGAATTTCATTTTACTTTTTCATTAGACTTGTCGTACGTAAAGTGTGATCGTCTGAAGGGCCCTTCAACGATCAGCATTTCTGTAGAAACCTTATAATAAAAATTAGGGAATTTTAGAAAACTGATCGATACAAGTTTTCTATAGAAGACTGATCGAACGAAATTGTCTAGAGACTATTAATATTAGTCAATTTTCTAGACAGCATTATCATTATTAATAAATACTTTTCCTGAGAAATCTAATCGAATTCCTCATATGAGTTTTGTTAAATGTTCGGTGCTGAACATTTAAAATATTCAAAATTCTACAAGTAAAACAATGTGTTAAGGGATTTAATTTATCCTTAAGCCTCATAATTTAAAATGGTTACATACATGCAACATACTTTCAACACAATACATACACAAGTATAATTATAATATACTGCTGCGTAGACTACGATCCTATGAATAAATTATACGTTTAATTGTTTAAATTTTAAATGAAATTTCCCTTAATTAACTTGACATTTCGTATAAAAAGTAAAACCCTTTTTTATTTAAATTTTTGGGCGTAAAAAGATTATGACAGATTAACTTGATTGTTTATGAATTTGTATGAACACACTTTCAGCTCATTGTTGGTGGTGTTGTTGGATTATATTGTCTTTGAATTAAAAAAAAAAAACAGCAATCCTTAATGAGGCAGGATGTATGTAAAAGTATAATAAGAACACGTATTACTAAATATTTATGCTTTTTTGTTCTTTAATATAATATAATTGTCATAAATTAAATACAGCTTAATAACACAATATTTATAAAAAACTCATTTACATATACCTTCATGACATACATACATATGTATGTATATGTAAACATACTGTCTAAATTAAAACCCCATAAATAGGAGGAGTGTCATCTTAAAAAAAGCTCCTTCACAGACATTGTCATTACCATCTTTATGGTTATTTATGTTGTTCTTGTTTTAACTATATAGTTTTGTCTGTTGTTATTGTTGTGATAATGATGATACTCTTCATGATACGTTGATGTTGTTGGTATTGTTACACATTCATTTTATTTTAAATATTCCAATGTTGTAATATCAACCGTAATGAGATGCTTCACATGACTCTTTTACACCTTAACAAGTTGTTGTTGTTTTGTTGTCGTTGTTGCTATTGTTTACAATTTTGTTGGTCGTAATTTAGCTGCGATAATATTGTTGTATATATTCCATCTTAGCTTAAGATTAAGCTTGTTGACATAATTAAAATAGTAAATTAATGCTAAGGAATTACAACGCCAAAAACTACGAATATTTATACACAAATATTTAGTATAAATATTGTGTAGACAATATTATCCTTACAGCAATAACAACAACATCAACATCTACATAAACATCAACAACATCATAATCAACGTCATCATCGTTATAATTAACAGTATTCTCATCAACATTTGGATATTTCACCCTACCATCCCTACTTTTATTCACATTCACCAACATGAAATATGTTTGGAATTTTTCAAAAAATATTTTGTTCTTTCTATTTTGTCCCTACAGGTAAGATGAAGATATATCTGTGCGTTGGTGGAGTGATGCTATTGTGACATTGAATTAGTATCTCAATTACAACTTAAAGCTCAAGTACTGTTATGGAGTTTCTAAGCTAAAATCATGATAGTCACAAAGGACTTTTTATTATTTTACTTTAGGGATGGTTTAAGGGAAATAAAGCTGATAAATTTATTTTCATATAAATACAAATTTGATTAACATTACAAAATAAAACACTTGGATAAAAAGAATCAAAATACAATTTTTCTTTTTTTTTTTTCAAATAAAAATGTTTTCTATTAAATTAGTTTCAAAATGCTTCTTTCTTTCCTTTTATACAAGAACAAGTTCCGATCAGTTTTTTACCCTAAAATAATGAAGTTTTTATAAAATAAGGTTTTATCCGATAAGTTTTCTATCGAAACCATTGAAAACTTCTCCCGATCAATTTTCTATTGGAAGCTTCTCCCGAACAATATCCTATTGAAATCTTCCCCCGATAAATTTTCTGTAGTAAACTTTTCATTATCTGTATAGAAAACTTCTCCCGATCAATTTTCGGTGGTAAAATTATACATATCTCTAATCTACAGTTTTCTATACAAAAGTTAATCCGATTATGTTAGTAAAAACGCTTTTCACTACTTCTTCATAAGCATTTTAAGTCATTATTTTAACACGGTGATGTCAATGAAGTCAAGTACTTCCACGTTCGTTTACAAGTAGGCATCTTCATAAGCATTTTAAGTCATTATTTTAACACGGTGATGTCATTGAAGGCAAGTACTTCCACGTTCGTTTACAAATAGGAAGTTAAAGAAGTACTTGCAATTTATCTTATAAAGAAGTTGTTTAGTAAGTTGTTTTGTTTTTTTAATAATAAAAAGAGCCAGCGAGAATACGAACCAGGACAGGGACGGTTTGTTAGTCAAATGTTTATTTTATTGTGCGTCAAATAATGATTTTCACATGGAAATTTAATTTTGTTTTCTTTTTTGTCAACCACAATTCTTAAGTCGCAAGCAAATAAAATGTACAAACAAAATGACAATATCTATATCAGATTAAAAGTAAGTAATTATTGGAATATTTTTAAGTAATAAGACAGTAAATAATAGTCATTGAAAAGTAAGTACAACACATTACCGGATTTTTCATGGGTAAGAACTCATTAATTCGATTTCGATAACTTTATGATTACTGGGCTTAAATGTTAAGTGCAATTTATGAAACAAACCGTACAACCGTACTTGCCATAAATTATTAAGACAAAATTCAGCACTGAAAAAGACTTACCTTTTCTGAGTTTATGTTAAGATGTCCATTCATATGCCTTTCGTTTTGGGTGCATTATCTTCGGTTTTGACTTTTCGAAATTGGTTTTTATTTAAACTGAAAATAAATAAAAATAATTTTTTAATTATAAAAACTTCTCTGGTAAAAATGTTCACAATTCTCAATTTAATTTTGAAAAATTACTTGAAAATTTAAGTACGATTTTGCCAAGAAACTCTTCAAATGTAAGTACATATGAAATTAAGTATAATTAAGAATTAATACAATACAATCCTTGAAATAAGCACAATATTTTTATTCGTAGGAACTTTCTCTGAAATGTTCTTAAATCAAGTAATAATCGGGCTAAAACTAATAAAAGATTGAAATTAGCACATTATTTTTAAAGGAATATTATTTATATTATATTTAAATCAATCTTATTTTCAACTTAATTTAGGTACATACATATGTATCCTAGATTAAATCAAACTAAAAATTGTAAAAATAAGTACATTATGATAATAATGTAATTCCAAAAAGTATTAGTAGCAGCTAAAATTGATTTTCATATACTTATTTGACACCGATACATGTTTGCAAGTGTAGTCCAAAGTCATGCACTTTTTGTATGGTCCCCCAAAGATTTGGGGGCCGGTGTCAATTTTGCAAAAAAGTAATCATATTATCAGGCTCAAATCCTGCAAACCTTTCGGAATTTAGATTTACTCTCTAATGCAAAGTTGTAGATTTTGTCATAAAAAACAAAAATTGTAAACATATAAAATCAATATAACACTGTGGAATTGCACTGATTTTATTAACGACACCAGTACGTATACGTATTAATGATTTATTGATATTTCAACTATTAAGTATACGCCTAATCTATTTAGCCTCTTATCACGTTGTGTCCGTATATGATTATATTTTTTCGTGTTGCACTGTGTAATTTATCAAAATATTTATTAATAAGATTTAATAAAGTTCTCAAACTTGTTAGCTTTATAAACTGCATGACAATTGAATTTATTGCCATTGTGATTATGTAATTTTTTTACAATTTCCAGATTACTTTTTTTACATATTGAGCATTAACATTGTAATTCTGAAAAGAAATCTCTATTCAAAGATTTCAATATATTAATTTATTATGATTGTTATGAATATTTATTATTAATTTGCCAGAAAGAATGTTTGTACGCCTGTAAACAAAAATATTCCATTATCAGCATGACAAACATTTTACAAATTAACGAAATAAATATACAATTGAAAAAAACATCATCTTATGTACATACGTATATTTTTATTAACAAGTATTTGTTAAGATATTTCGATTGCCACTCTTATGTTTGTTGTGAGGAAAAATGAGGAAATACTTGAATGAATGATTTCAATAGAATTCAAACCCTTGTAATTTGAGTATAATTTTTAAGAAATTTTCAAATCTAAAATAATAATGTGTATTGTAAATAATAGACGATTTTAAAAAGCTGTACACATTTATCTCTAAATTAATAGAATAATTGATAAAAAAAGATCAGTTATGTATTAGGTTAATATTACAGTTTTACTATAATTAAATAGATAAAATGTCACTAAAAGAGTCTTATTGATAATTTTAAAATAGCATTTTAAGAACATTTGTACATAAGTATATTAAAATTCCTTTTAATTAAATAATCTTCAAATAGTTTTGTGTAGGGTATTCTAACTCAATAAATTAACGAATGATTTATAGCAAAAAGTAAAAAGTATTTTGAATCTTTTTTTCCAATATTGTGTCATTTATTAAAGGAAAGTGTTTGTTATTTAACGAAAAAAAATTAGAAAATGAGATTAAGGATTTCGGTATCTGGTGTTTTGGTTGGTTGGTTTGACTGAAGGATAAAAAGTTTTACAACATTAGCTTTATAAAAAAACACATACATATACATAAGTATATGAATATTTGTATTCACGTTTACTCACATGTATGTATGTATGTATGTAACCGTACAAGGACGAATGAGTGTTTAAAACTTTTTGAATTGTATTGTCCCCCTTTGAAAAAAAACACATTGTAATAATGATGATATAAAAATGTACAATGACAATTGAAAAATTATTTTCAATAAACGAAAATTGTTGCTGGCTTTAAAGACACAAACTTTTGGTATTGTGCATGTGTTCTTCATATTTTCCTTTTTTTATATTTTCCACTTCCCATTTTCAATTTATGATTGAATATTTTTGTTCTTATTTAATTTTGGTTTTCCCTCGAGTAAAATGTTTAAAATAAAATGTGTAAATTTAGATATGTCTTTTAAATGTGTTTGTGTATAGAATTTACAGATTATCGATGATGCAGTCATATTTACATATGAAAAACAAATTACGTACAGTGGATGAAAAATAAATAAATAAACAAAAAATGAACTAAAATTTGACATTTTTTTAAACGATAACGAAAACTAGATACCCAAGTATACTTTTCAAAGGGATTGAGTAGCGCTGAGATATTGTGTCATAAAGTTTCGAGATATCGTGTCTTAAAGTTTGAAAACACCCGCTTGGACATATTTGCGATGTTATAACAGCAAAAAGACATCTTTAATTAGAAAACTGGTTAGGTCTATAAATGTATTCTGAGCAAGATATAGGACGCCAAAGGTCACAAAAATTGGATTTAAATGAGTATCGTTTTAAAATTAATCTCTGCTACCTTGCCGGATTTTTGAATTATCTATACCCACTGTATATTTGTAATAGGAGGCCTGGAAAAACGCTTTAATTGTCATTTAGGCTAAAGTAGCAGTTTTGCAAATACTCCCAACAAATAAAAAAAGTTTACAAAAGCTTATTCACTCATACGCTTATGTGTGTAAATTTGTTTATACACAAATGTAAATATGCATATTTATATACAAGTGTATTTGCATAGTATGTGTAGGTATTGTACTTGAATGAACAATTGTTTGTTTGTATAAGTACGTACATTAGCGTACGTGTGTTTATATGTATTCTTAAGCATGTGAATGTGATTGTATGAAAAACACATTTATTTTCACCAACAACAACGGCAGCAAAAAAGAAAATAAGGAAAAAATTATATACAACCATAATATAACTGAATTAAATTCTATTACACAATTGCGGGTTTATGTTACGCTATGTACACATACAACAACAGACATACACATGTATAACATGTGTACTCTACAAATGTAGTATGTGTGTAAGTATTTATACATACATATACACATGTCTGAGCGTTTGTACTTGTAAGTTTGTGTTTTTACTTATTATTATTTGTAAAAGTGTGTATATTATTTAGTTAGGTTTTTTGTTCGGTTTTTTTGCCTGACATTCCTCATGTTCAAATGTTTTTTATACATATGTGCAAATGTTTGTGCGAATATTTCCTTAAAAAAATTCAAAGAAAAAAAATTAACTCGAAAAACATGTTCGAAAAAGAAAAGTAGCAGTAGAATGAATCCCCCATTAACATTATAGTAAAACGCACGTTTTTTTTATTTCAATTTTTTGCGGGCATATTTTTTCTTATTTTTTCCACGTTGAATAAAAGTCAGTTAAATGTGAGTGAAATCATATTTGCATGTGTTCTACATGGAATATTGTAAATTGCCTCAAGGGAATTATGTTGTTTGAACACAATCATACCCAGCAGTTTTACAAGGGGTCAATAAATCAATAATATATCTTTCAAATGTCTAACTACAAGATTGAGGTAGACTTATTAATATTTGGATCATTTAAAATGAAGTCCATCATCACTAACATAAGTGCCCCTTAATACTATGTAGAATTATTTTCCGTTCTGTATCTAATAAAATAGTTTTTTTACCCAACAGATGTTATACAGATATTAAATTTGTAATCAAAGTAAAATATAGTTGTAGTCAACAATGGATCAATTAACTTCTACTTAGCTAAGATACATGCTAAAATAATTATTAGTCACATTGGAACTGCTACCCGAATTGCAGGGTATATAACGATAAACTCATACATACATACATACATATAAGTGACTGCCGGAATGTTTGACATAATTGTCCAACAAACAATCGGGCAATTTGTTTCGTACATCTCTGTCTGTGTCTCTGTCGGTTTTAAAAATGTTTTTTTGAAATTGCCATAAGGAAGTATGAACATAATTTATGCTTTAAGTTTTTAGTAAAAATTTGTGAAGGACAATCTCGAAATTGCGATCCCCATATCCTGTTATTGGGAAATTTAAAAAAAAAAGAAACTGTTAATATTTCCGCTATAAAAACTTCAGTTTTTATAAATAGAACATTTTTTTTTCAACTTTTATCAAAATTTATAATTTTAGTTTGAAATTAACAAAAAACCCCCACCCCCTCCTTGAATCCTAGTCTGGTAAGCAAACAATGTAAAATGCCAAATATTTGACTCTAAAGTTTTTCGGTGACGTATGAGTGATGTGACAAATATATTCCAAAAACCGTTAGTGACGTATGTGTGATGTGCTATTAAATATAGCTCAAAAGATTGCTCATACGACCAGTAGGCCAGCAACCTTCAGTTCAATTTTTACTAAATTTAAAAGTTTTTACTATATAAATTAAAGAAAATATTGAGAAATAGAAAAATACTTAAGCAAATAATCAAAATAATTACTTTGCTAGTTGCTACGAAAATATCAAACAAATTCTATTAAAAGAAAAACAAAATCCAAAATAAAATTCATTTAATTTCGTATTTAATTTAATGCCTAATGAATGGTAACTAATGAGTTTAACCTTATTTTTAGTCTTCGCGAGTAATTCTTATTTCTTTTATACAAGTACAAATATACAATTTCGACGGTAATACACAATTTTGTTAACTGAGTACATATAATTAAAGCTAAATTAACGCTACTTATAAAGGAAACTTTAACATCCTGGTCACGGTTCACACTACTACTTACAAATAGGAAACTAAACTATTCAAGTTTATTTATTACAAATTGCTGCTGTTTATTTTTAGAATTTGTTTATTTGCACAACGACAATAAGAACAACAACAAAAGCAAATAAAACACAAACATAAACTAAATAAACTCAAGCAGTAGACTAAGAGCAGTCATGGCTGTCTGTCATGGC